AAATAATTATAAATAAAAAAGAAATCGTCCATTACTGTTCTACACAAATTTAAAAAGCAGCCGGCTGCCGTGTGGCCACACCGAACTGTCTGTATATATTTTGTCCGAAAAGAAAATTAAAAGATATTTAAATGTCTTTCAACCGTCCGACCTCCATGTGTCCGCACAGCGTTTATATTTCACGGGGTCATCTGCGTGTTGCTGTTCCCCTCAGCCCTCTCATCGGCGTGTGAGTGCGGCCCGCAGAGCACAGTCACTCGTGTGTGGGGACTGAGAGAAGCACGCAGACACGACGGCAGTCGCGTCACTCCATCGGGAGAGTGAGCGCAGCAAAAGAAAAAGAAATCATCGGAGGGGAAAATAAATGCTCACGAGACAGACCCCGAAGGGAGTGCCAGCGAGTGAAATGCACACAAAAAGCAAAAATAAAAAAAGAAAACGGCGGCAGGGTGTGGCTGTGTGTGTGGTGCTGCGGGTGTCTGCCAGCCCTGGCCGCAAGAAAACAAAACAAGAGCGGAAGCAATGTGTGCTCCGCCCCACCGGCCCTCGTCGCACGCCCACACGTCACGGCTCCCTCAGCGCGCCGTTCGTCGCGGCCCCTCCTCATGCGTGCAGCAGGCGAGGCGCACAGGGCCGTCGTCGTGAGCGTGTCGGTGGGTGTGCGAGTGGAGCAGTTGGGCGGGAAACACACGGCACCCCTCACAGGAAGAGTGCAGCAACAAACAATTAAAGAGGGAAGAGTAGAAAAGAAAAAAACGTCCATAGTGACTGCCCCAAAAGCAAAAAAAAAAGAAATTGAGAAATAAAAAACAAAAAGGAAAAACGCACAACCAAAAAGAAGCAAACAGTAAAAGGATTTTAAAACACGCAAAAAAAGTATTTTATGAGTGAAATTTGTTCCCATGGGAATAGTAATTCTGTGCTCGGAAGGTCGCAAGTGTCCCACGCGGCAGCCAGTCACTCCTCACTGAGCCGCAAACCCCCACAGTCCCAACAGCAGAAGGAGCAGCGGCAGCGCCCTCCTCTCACATACAGTGCCGGCATCGGTGTTATTCCCCTGCGACAAATTTCCGAGGCTGCTGCTGAGTGCCGCAGACTTTACGTCCCTGTCCTGTGGATGGATTCCCTCCTGCCCATCCGTTCCTCCTGCCGTCTCCCCATCCGCACCAGAGCTCACGCTCACATCACGTGTCAATGCGGGTCCATCGTGCCCCTCGCCTTCAGCGGTAAGAACGTTTGTATCGGCGGCGGCGGCGGTATTACCCACGGAGGGTGTGTGCGGTCCATCCCCCTGTATCGTATCTGCACTCCCCTCCCCCACCGTCGGGTTACCGCTAGACGAGGAAGAGACATCCACATCTGCATTTCCATCGGGAGATGTTTCAGAAGCCAACTGCTGTACGGTCTGCCCCACAGGTATGGAAGTCGAAGCAATGGAAGCTGCTTTGGGTACACCGAGACCGTCAGCACCTTCACCTCCATTCAAAGGTTCCTGTCCCGCTTGCGGTGTTCTGCCAGGAGAAGGCAACACGACTTCCTGCGCATTTGGGTCCTTCGGAGGCGTAATCGGGGGTTTAATTGCATTAAGAGCAGTAATCTCATTGCCATCCAACGGGCGGTTGTACAGCAGGACGTTCTTCACAGTCACAGACACGCCTTCTTGGCTCCCTTTGTTGCTTCCATCCCCTCCAATGTAGAAGTGGGAGATCCCTTTAGAATTCTTATTCTCCACTTTACATGGCTCACCCACACGCTTACCATCGACGTACGCGGAGCCCTGAGTGCCGTTCCGCAGCACAATGGCCACTTGGTACTGTGTTGTATCCGTCTGTGTCTCCCAAGGGCTGCTGGGCTCCTTTTTCTGTCCGCCACCACACAGTAATGTCCACTTCTTCTCTTTGTTGTTGTACGACAGTCCAAGAAGTACTGGATTCTCTGCATCCTTCAATATCGCACCCATCACTGGAATGGGGCCCTCCTGCGTCGGCTCACCGTCGATGGACACCGTCGCCACAAGAGTGAAGTTGTAGTTCGCAAAGTGGTACAGCTGATTCTCCCCCTGTCTGCCAACAGGCCACTCCGCCCACGCACCCTGGAACGTCACGCCATCGACAGGCCCTGCTACTTTTGTTGCAGTCCCAGTTACTGTGGCGTTCACTCCGAGGTACTCGTCCTTCCATGTTTCATCAGAGAAGTTGCCGGACAAAAAGCCAACCAGCCCATCCGTGATCTTAGTGTTTTTGAAGGCAGTGTCAGGTGAGGGAGCCTTCTCAGCGCTCTCAGAAGGGCACAGCTGGGAGACACGTTCGTCCACTTCCTTCCACGTCGCCAGCACCTCCTTCACCCGCTGCAGCTGCGCAGTCAGACGCACAGAGACCATACCGGGCGATGGTTTTTCATCGCCCTTCTTCTTCTCGTACAGTGCAATCAACTCCTCATTATTATCAGTTCCACTTCCAGCACTTTTGTACAACAGGGCGCTGGCGGCAGCATCATCGTCCTTCCCGGATATCGGCCCAATATCAACAATGTGCGTATTGTCCGTCAGCCAAAGATGGAGTTCGCCCTTTTCTCCATTTTCTTTGGGATACACCGGCAGAGTAACGAGCATCACATTTTTCTCATCATCTCCAACACCGTCAAAAGTCGCTGTGGTGAACCCGCTCCCAACGCCCTTCCCTTCTCCCTCCTGTTTGTTGCCCCACACGCGCGAGAGTGTCCCGAGTGCCTCCGTCCACGACTCCCCCTTGTCGCCGGACTCGTACACCCTGCGGCGGCCATCACCACACGCAGTCATCATCATGAGCTTGTCCTTCTCCCACTTCACGACGGAGGGATCACTGCAGCCATCGGCAGACATCCCCTTCGACAGCGTCCAATTCTTAGTATCCTGCAAGTACAGTACCAAAGAAACGGTAGTTGTCTTTCCATCCTTTCCTGCGTCTGCACCGTCCTTCTTCGTGCCTTCCACTGGAAAAAGGAGCCTACCGTCCTTCATCTTAACACCCGATCCACCGCCGCCAATCAGTCCTGTCAAGGATGAAGGTTGTTCGCCGAAAGGTGTCTTCGGGACAGCGTTGGTATCTTTCCAGTCAATTTGTTTGTTACTTTCTTTATCACTGACTGTCCCTTTCACCAGCAATAGTCCCGATTGAGCTGCAGCACTCTCCCGAGCATCAGCACCAGCATTCCCACTGTATTTCCCAACAAGCATGTAAATATCACCTCCATTCACAACCGTTGTTGGCCGGCTCACATCTACTTTCTTGCTTTTGGGAGCGACTTCCTCCAGAACTCGTATCACTCTGGCATTCTTAAGCACTTCCATTGGTTCTTCAGCAGTATCTTTCGTAAGAAGTTGGGATGCAATGCCAGTAAAGACGTTCTTCTACATCCTTCTTCTTGCACTGCGCCTCAGCAACGGCAAATACGACATTCCCCACTTTCAAAAAGGCCGGGAACACCCAACGATTTCACACTTACACCATCGTCATTAGCGTCCTTCCATTCAAACTTTTTTTCAGACGACGGCTCCACAGCTTGCGTAGATCCACAGGTGGCGCAGCATATCAACACGACGAGGAGGAGCAGCACCGCGGAATTAAACACACGCCGGGACATGTTGGGTCTCTGCCGCTCACTCTCTCCTCCTCCCCTCCTCCTTCCGCTGGATCCGGTCACGCGGCGACGGTTGTGTGTGCGGAGTGCCCTCACTGCAGCAACACGTGAGAGCATATAAATATGTGTGTGTGGGCGGTGTGTGTGCTGTTAGTCCTTTCAGTGCCTTACAATTTCACAGTGGCGATTAGCGCTTGTTTTCCCTCTTTGTGAGGGTGAGAAAGAAATAAAGAGAAAAATGTCCACAAAAGAAGTACAACAGCAAACACCGTCACCCATCCACAGTGAGTGGCATCATCATCCCCGCCGCAGTCACTCCCAACAACAACAACTCACGCACGCAGACACACGGAACGAGACGGAAGAACAGTGCACCGGGAACACACAGCGACGGTCACCACCAGCAGCAGGAGTCACGGCGGGTGCGTTATTCGTCACGCTTCAGCACACACCGCGCAACGCCCACACACAAAACAACCAGCGGAATGCAAAAGAGCAAGACCGCCCCTTGCAAAGCCCACGCGCTCTCGCCAGTCATTTTACTGTTCACCCTTCCAGCGCATCCGCCAGCGCACATCACCCACACAGGCAAGGAATCCCTGACCAAAGTATACACAGCATGGGAGATACACATTGGCACGTGCAGCTGCTGGACAAGAAGCAATCCGCACTTGTCCCAGGCAACTGAAGCCACACCACCCAATAGACTGCACGCCAGCAACGTGTCAAAAAATAAATCGCAGGCTCCCGTCCTCCCTCCTCGCAAGGGACGTCGCAGACAGAATCTTCTGCGTGCATCCATTCTCAGCTATCACGCCACTCTACAGAGTATGCATAATGGCGTGTGTGTGCATGTGTTTTTGCCAGTGGATATAATTGCAGAGCAGCTGTGCGCCAAAAGAGAGTCTGAAGAAAGCAACGGCAGAGAGAGGCAGATAGCACACACGCAAATTGCTCATATCATCACACACACACACGCAGCCCGCGGAATGGGTGCACTCAACCACAAAATCAAAAAGAAAACAAAACAAAAAGCCGAAGCGTGGGACGACCAGCGCACACACACTCTCATTACTCCCGTAAAGCAAAACAAACACACAGAGGGAGAGAGAGAGAGGTCGCCCACTCAATGCAATAAAAACAAAACAGAAACCGTTACGGTGCTCCGCCCATGCAGCCAGGCAGGACGGCAGCGGTGCGTGTCGTGCAAAAGAGAGCACCAACGGACCTGCATGGGTGTGCATGCATATATACAATGGGCACATTATTGTGTGTGCTTCGTGGGGTGAGGTGAGGGCGAGAGTCCATGCAAGGGGACACACACACAGAGAGAGAAGGACGAGTGTGTGTGCGGGCGGTGCACGGCTCTCTCTCCTTCACTCTCACGCGGCCACCACCGCAGCAGCAGCCGCACACGCAACAGGAAGAAGAAGAAGAGGGGAGGTGGTGTGGGAGACCGCGGTGCTGCCGTCACTGTCGCCTGTATTTGCGGTGGCATTTGTACGAAGGGCGTTTTTGTCTTTCGAGGATTCTTCGCCGTTTTCCGCGGGGTGTTCATGCTGTTGTTGTTGTTGGACTTGTGTTTCATCACTTTTCTGCTGCATTTCACTTTCTTCTTCCTCTTTCTCTTCTTGTCGTGTGTGTCCAGTGCCGGATGTCGTTCCTTCCGTTCCTTCGGGTAGCGAGGAGTTGTGAGCCGCTGCTGCAGACGAATGATTTCCTGTCTGAGAGTCCCCTGTTGTGTTAGATGAATTAGTGCCTGAGGACCCCGCTGTACCACCACTGCTGCCAGCTGAAGGGTCAACACCAGGAGCAGCAGGACCAGGAGGACTTGAAGCAGTAACAGCAGGAGCAGATGAACCAGCAGGAGGAGCGGGAGGAGGTGCAGCAGGAGCAGGAGTACCACCAGAACCGGCTCCTTCACCAGAACCGGCTCCTTCACCAGCAGCAGAATTAGAACCAAAAGCACCACCAGAGTCAGAACCAGACTCGAGATTCTCCCTTGAATTCGAATAGTTCTGCATTACAAGAGCATCATTTCCTCCATCCGAGGCTTCGACGGCAGTAATGGGCAGTACTGACCGCAAAGGCACCGTAATCGCAGTTTTATTGCATCCGTCAGGCATGTGGGATCCATTCTCACCCAACACTCCCGACGCCATGCAGCCACCCAGTGCGTTGGTGTCGACGTCCCTCGCATAAACACCGCCGGCAACGCACCACAGCACGCAGAGGGCACACACCAGCAGCACACGGCCGGTCATCATCATCGCCATCACTCCTGTCACTTGCGTGTAGCCTTCAGCACAAACTAACTCCCCGTCAACGCAGAGTGAAAGCAACAAAAAACACGGCACAGTAAAATACACCAGCAGCAGCAGCACGCATTTCATGAGAAATATTGAACCAATGAAAGTGAAAAAAGACACAATGCGCTGCACGTAAAGAAAAACACAGAAAACAAGGAAAAAAAAAAGTGAACAGGCAGCAATAAAGTAAAACAGTAAAAACACACAAAAGAGCTGCACAGTATGGCTCCAGCGCGCACGCCTCTATCCTCAACAGTGTGTCCACGCAAACAGTTGTGTGCGTGTCGTGCGTATGCGTATGTTTGGGATGCGTTCAGCGTGACGGATGCGGGGCACAACGCGGAGCACACAGCACGGCAGCGGAAGCAAAGGAAGCAAAAACACAATCAACATAATTGCTCTTACTTTATACATCGGACCACAGTGGACGCACACATGTCCCCGTGGCTGAGTGCTGGCACGCACAGCCCGCATGCACCTCTTTACCCCACAGCGGTGCACGCCAGCGCGGATACGGCGAGCGCCAGCGGGGCACACACCCACGCAGAGCTGCTGAGGCTGCCGTCGATTTCGCGAAGACGTGACGGTGCCTCTGTGGTTGTAGTTCTAGTCGTCGTGGTTGGCGCCTCTGTAATCATGGCCGTATTACTTGGTGCCTCTGGCGCGGTGGTTGTTGTAGTAGTCGTAGTTGCAGTTGGTGCGTTTGTCGTAGTCGTCGTTTTTTGCACTGTGGAATCAACTTTTGAAATCGTTGCGGATTTATCCGCAGCACTTGTTTTCGCTGACTGAACAGACGCAACTGATGCATCTTGTCTGTTGGCATTCTCATTGGCTTTCGGAACCGTTTTTTCTCCTACTTTGTTATTGTCTTGAAACGTTAGTGTAACGACACCTGGACCTGGGACCTCGTTTTTATCCTTCTGCCTACCGTCCGCCCCACTTATTCCCGGTTGTGGATCGGAATTCTGAACGGATTGAGCTGGTTTATCGCTACCCTCTGTCACACACACGGACGGGCAGCAGCACAGGGCGAGCACCAACAGGGCGCACAGCAGACGGCACGTCATCATCGTGAGTGTGGTCGTTCAGTGGTGTGGAGCTGATCTGCACAGTGAGGGAAATGGAGAGCAGCAGGGGAGACGAGAGGTGCGGCAGACACACACAGAGGGCACACCACATGAGGAGAGGGCAGCAGCCAGGCATGCACCGTACGCCGCACACCACGCACGACACACACTCCAATCCACGGCGGCAGGCACACACACACACAGCCCTGCCGCAACAACAACACACAGATGGAGGAGGGAGAAGCAAACAGGAGCGGCACACAAGGCTCCACCGCATATGCATACGACGAGAGCGGTCCGTCGTGTCGGCACCCCTCACGGAGGGTGCGCACACACACAAGAAGGTGCAGCGCACACAGCAACACAAAAGCAAAGTAACAATACAAAAAGGAGATCCCCGCACACCACGTGGATTGTTGGTCCACGGGAAGTGCAGCCAATATTCACCACAAAGCAGCTTGTTATCTTGTTTTGGTTGTATGCTGCTACAATAGCGAGTGAGTAGCGCAAGGGCCGTCCGTACAAAAGTGGCAAGTATTCCGTCGTGCGGGCTGGGGCAGTCACAAACAGTCGCAGTCCAGTTCCCAACGACGAGGGCATTCCCGCAGTGGATGGGGCGGAGTCTCCCGTGGTCCGTCGGGGATCAGCAGCCCGTGGCGTCCGTGATGAGGCGGTGGCGGAAGAGCCTGGTCCATCTCGAGTAACCGCGTTTGTGCTTCCTGCGTGTCTTGCCTGCTGGCATGCCTGGCAACTTCGGTGGCGACCGGCGCGCGAGGCACCTGTTAAGAAGACGGTGGCGCCATTGTGGCATCCGCATGGGAGGCCCTCGCAAACTATTATAACGCCAGGCTGAGCACGTCCGGCGTGTGCCCTCATACTGCGGACGGACAAGTGCAGTCTGCCGCAGGTTGGGCAGGAGGACGTCAATCCGCCGCTCGCTGGTCGACAAGGAGTTGCGGCGCTCACGTCGGGAAGAGGTTCCGGCGGAGGCAGAGGCGGGCCGATCACCGCAGTGAGGGAGGGACGGCACCACCGACATAAAGGGCCGCCTGTAACCTGCAGGGCGTGCGCCATTCTACCGAAGAGTGGGCAGGCGTCGCATCGCGCCTGTGCGCAGTGCCGCCACTCGGGGACCAATGTCCGGGTCAACACCAGGAATAGAGTCCTCGCCACACCGACAGGCGCCTGTCACGCGGTGTGCGCGCCTTCCTTTTCCTCCTGGGCATCCTTCCATTATAACCTCTTGACGGCGGTAAGGAAGTCCACGTGCCAGGCATTGACGCAGTCCTGCGAGAGGGGTCGTGCAATCGTGGCTTGTTTGTCAGCGGCCTCACTGCGTGGAATACCGCAGTGTGATGGGAAAATATAAAATCCACAGGGTGACCTCGCTTCACCAAGGAAAGCAGCATAATCCAAATTTACTCAGTAACGCGGTCTCGCACGGTCGGTGGGCAACGCGGGGTGCCTCAATTGCCGAGAGGGAGTCTGTGGCGACAGGAACTCGTGTGGGCGATTGGGATGCTGCTGCCAGGCGGGGAACTGGGAAGTGTCCTAGGCCATGCTCAGTGGCAGGACACTCCGCTCGGCAGTTGCATGCAAGGCTGTCAGCAGCTGTGCGGTGAGGCCCCACAGGGAGCTCGGCTGTCCGGGGAGTCAAGTGGCAGCGCGGCGGATCCAGACGCACGCACAGCGAGAGAAGACAAGCCGCCCACCGCCAACACAGTTGCCAGCGAATAACAACATGATGACCATGAATAGGACACGTATGCCTGCGCTGCCGTGGGCACGGAAAGCGGCCCCGATTCACTCAGCAACAGTGATCTAATGCCTTTGGATGGTACAACAGCCACGCCTGAGCCCAGCACAGCCCTAGCAAATGTTGAACGAGTGGTAACGTGTTGGGTGGCGCTGATGCCGCACCGACTTCTTCGAGCACAGCGCCTGGGGAAACCAAGATCCCATCGGAGTACAACGCAGCATCACTTGTTAGCAACGGTTTTTGTGAGCAGGGGCATCTCACGGATTTGTTGGCTATGGCTGAAATTGGTGACATCGCTGTGCATGGGTGTGTGTCTCGGGTGATGTTGCTCTTGATTCTGGGGCTGTGGGGCACTGCGGCGCTCTGCTGAAGTGTGAGGGAGGGTGGAACTGCGGCTTTTCGTGGAACAATAACCGTGCACCTTGCCAGCATCACTCAATGAGTTGTGTCAATAATTTAAGTTTTTTTATTTTCTTTTGTTTATTTGTTTTTGCTGCTTTTGCCCTATTGGAATAATCAGCATTCCTGTGTTTCCCCCAATGCTCGTTTGCTGCACTGCGTCATGAGTGACGTGCTTCTCCTCTTGTTTCCTTTTCTTGCCCATACGCGGTGCCGGCCTCTTTGCTGTGCGTCCCACGGACTGCACGAAAGGAGGATTGGAAGAAAAGACTGGGTGACGCACGAAATGTGAGGAGAGTTGTGTGGGCTCACGGAAAAGCACGATCTTTTTTGATTTTTTACTGCAGGCATTACGTATATAAAAACTAGTGGTCGTTTACGTTGCGCTGCCTGGCACATAAAATAAAGGACGTCCCCGATCGATTTTTTATTTTTTACTTTTTGGGAATTTTACCGGACTCTCAACTCTGCTGTTGTGCCTTTTTTACTGCTTTTTTAACTTTTGGTTTGGGGAGCGATGTGCGAGCTCTGCAATTGTACTGATTCCAACTGCCTCGTGGTGCGTGCATTGCCATTTGTGACTGTGCGTGATTGCGTGACGTGTCTCCCCTTTTGTTTTTGCTCTGCATTGACGGGGTGTTAGTTTGTGCTGAAGGCTAAACGCAAGTGACAGGAGTGATGGCGATGATGACTGGCCGTGTGCTGCTGGTGTGTGCCCTCTGCGTGCTGTGGTGCGGTGCCGGCGGTAGATGTGACGAGGAGGTGGTGGAGATTCCTGTTGGTGGTGGTAAAGTTGCTGTGGGGTCGACTGGAACTTCAACGCCGGGATCAGATAGCTCAGATCCAACAAAAGGTTTGCCCAAGGTTAATCAATCAACAGAAAAGTCTGAAGGAAAATCCTTGGAAGGAAAAGAAGTTAAAAATGATCAACTGTTTGTTGCTCCTGGAGTGGAGGGTGAAGATAGAAGCTCTTCAGAGCAATTAGAAGAACGTTTGAAAAATGCTCCAGAACAAGGAAAAACAAAGCCAGAAATACAAAATAAAGAACAGGAAGTAGGGCAACCGCCAAAAGCGCAATTAAATGTACTACAGCAACCGCAGCCACAACCGCAGCCACAACCGCTACCGCAGCCGCAGCCACACACTCCTGCCTCAGAAAGGGGTGAAGGTGTTGGCGAGAACAGTAAGGGTGGAGCAGGTCAGTCCTCATTGAGAGTGGAAAATAGTGGAAACGAGGATCCAGAGAACCCCAGAGAAGAAGACTTATTAAAGAGTCCAGTTACAGAATCAAAAAACAGTGAACAGGTCCAAACGACAGTGCCAAACACAGTACCGCCGGAGCACAAAACCCAAAATGAAGTGTTAACTCCGGAACAAAAGACGAATGAAAGCCAAAGCACGGATACATCCACGAACCTACCCGAAACACAAAAGGAAAATAAAGAATATCCTGCCTCCACGGAAGGTACGGCGCAGAGTACATCAACTGGCAGTAAAGAACAAGAAAATGAGCCATCTACAAGCGAAGAACCTTCCCCTATTGAGGAGGAACACTCCACAGGGACGAAGACAACCGAGGATCCACGAATTCCGGATGCTGCAGTGACAGAAAAACGCCAAACCGTAAATAGGGAAAAGGTTGGCGACAGTGACAGCAGCACCGCGGTCTCCCACACCACCTCCCTTTCTTCTTCTTGTTGCGTGTGCAGCAGCTCCTGCTGCGGTGGTGGCCGGGCCTGCATGAAGTGGAGTGCGATGAATGTGGACGAAGGCCTACTGCAAATGCTTTTGTGGTGAATATTGGCTGCACTTCCCGTGGACCAACAATCCGCGTGGTGTGCGGGGATCTTCTTCTTGTATTGTTACTATGCTTTTGTGTTGCTGTGTGCGCTGCACCTTCTTGTGTGTGTACGCACCCTCCGTGAGGGGTGCCGACACGACGGACCGCTCTCGCCGTATGTACATGCGGTGGAGCCTTGTGTGCCGCTCCTGTTTGCTTCTCCCTCCTCCATCTGTGTGTTGGTGTTGCGGCAGGGCTGTGTGTGTGTGTGCCTGCTGCCGTGGATTGGAGTGTGTGTCGTGCGTGGTGTGCGGCGTACGGTGCATGCCTGGCTGCTGCCCTCTCCTCATGTGGTGTGCCCTCTGTGTGTGTCTGCCGCACCTCTCATCTCCCCTGTTGCTCTCCATGTCCCTCACTGTGCAGATCAGCTCCACACCACTGAACGACCACACTCACGATGATGATGACGTGCCGTCTGCTGTGCGCCCTGTTGGTGCTCGCCCTCTGCTGCTGCTGCCCGTCCGTGTGCGCGGCAGACGCTGCGCCTGGAGCTGGAGCCGCCGCCTCTTCTTCCAATACGACCACGACGACGACTACAACAAAACCACCGACTACCACCACGACCACCACAACAAAACCACCAACCACGACGACCACCACCACTGCGCCAGAGACACCAAGTACTACGATTACAGAGGCGCCGGCTGTGTCGACCACCCACGCACCGTCACGTCTTCGCGAAATCGACGGCAGCCTCAGCAGCTCTGCGTGGGTGTGTGCCCCGCTGGTGCTCGCCGCATCCGCGCTGGCGTACACCGCTGTGGGCTGAAGAGGTGTGTGCGGGCTGTGCGTGCCAGCACTCAACCGCGGGGATTTGTGCGCGTGTGTTGTGGTTCACTGTATAAAATAAGAGAAAATAATGATTGTGTTTTGCTTCACTTGCTTCTGCTGCCGTGCTGTGTGCTCCGCGTTGTGCCCCGCATCCGCCACGTTGAACGCATCGCGGACACACTCATATGCATGCGCACTGGAGCCCTGGGTTTGTTTTTCTTTTTTAATTATTGT